GCCTTCACTAGCAGGACCAAGTACTGATTTTGCCCCAGATCCCCAAGTGGCCCCCTCAAGGATTGAACTCACAACCCTGGGTTTAGCAGGCCACTGCTCAAACCACTGAGCTATCCCTCCCCCTACTCTGCTTTTAGACAGTTTTTCTGATGTGATGCAGAGGAGCAAAACGAACACTGCTGCAATCAGCTTGGCAGTTATGAAATAAACTCTGCTCTTCTGTAAATTTTGCAGTTCTGAAGTTCATGGCGGGTGAGTTAAGGCCTCCCTAGCACATCAAGACCCTTTCAGGGAGGCTGTTACAATACCAGAATCAGCAAGGCATAAAAATTCCCTTGACCACATTACATTGTGCCTCTTTCCATGAGCGAAGCCTTGAGAGGTTTCCTCTGCTAGGGTAAAGGGGTAGGAGTTAAAAAACTTGACATGACATGAATGACAAAACTGGGAAATGCCAGGGAGGCTACTACTTGTCCATACTAGGGAATAGTTAGTTACCTTTTTCTTTGGAATCCTCATTTCTCCCTCCTCTGTCTTCCTGAGTAGCTGCTTCTAAACAAACATTGATATTAGAAAAGTGACTCAGCGAATATCCTATTTACTGCACAGTGTGCAATGAATACAAGACAACTTACATGTCCAGTATGGTACTCAGACTGAGTATTTTTAATAAAATTAGGGCTAGCTTTCCTACGCCATTCCCCTGCAGCAGACAGCAGGACTGAAAGAGCCACAACTTGAAAAATCGACTTGCACACAATAAGTAGGAAGCTTTTCCAGAATGTGAGTTTACATTTTAAAAAGTTCATAAGCCCGGTGGTTCCAAAGGTTACTTGTTACTCATATTTGGAAAGTCAAGTCCTTGGGTTGTGTGAGGTGTCTCCTAAATTTCCAAGCCTTATGGCATTGTCTAAAATAGCCGTTTTCTTAATTTTTTCCACTGGTGCAGCTCAACAAGTGGTAGATGTGACGCTGGCAGACTAGGTGCCAGTTCATATCGAGGTCCCTAGGTTTCAACAGAACACTGACAAATACATAACTGGAACCAGTCTGGCTCACCCATGTGTTAGTATTGTTAAAATAGGCCTTAGTTCTAAAAATGTGCTTAGACTTTATGGAATGCTTGTAAACTGCTGCATGCATTGATCTCACTTATAATATCTGTATCCCATGTCATAAGATAATACATATGCAACTGTAAATCACCAGTCGGAGAGAAGCATTACCAAGTGTGAAATACTAGCTTGCCACAAGGAGGTGTTATCTCCTGTCCGACAAAAGAAGGCCCATAAACACTAGACAAACCACTGTGGAACATCAGAGGACAAAAAACTGTTGATTGCTCTCCTCATCCCCAGCTGAAGAGGAGACATGCAACTGAGTTCCTCCCAACAGCTGAACTTGCAACTTGAAACAGAAGGGGGGAAGCAATAAAAGGTGGTAACAAGGAGAAACTGTATCTTTTATGCTGCTTAGACTCTGAGGGAGCAAGTAATAGTAAGCATAAGCAAAAGATCCCCAGTGCTTGGCCTGGGTTAGCCCTAAGGGACATATAGAACTTGCATATTATAGAAGCTTCAATTACCTTTTGAAACAGTGGAACTCATTTGTGTGAACGTTTACCTGCTTTAACCTTGTAAATAACTCTCGTTTCCTTTTCCTAGTTAATAAATCCTTAGATGATTTATTATACGATTGGCTACAAGTGCTGTCTTTGGTGTGAGATCTTAGGTGCAATTGACCTGGGGTAACTGACTGGTCCTTTGGGACTGGGAATAACCTGAATATTGCTGTAGTACTTGGTGTAAGGGACCATCTTTCACAAAGGTGAGCTTACCTGGGTGGCAAGATAGATCAGATTACCCAAGGGGACTGTCTGTGACTCCAGGTTAAGGCTGTATAGTGCTTGAGGAGTTCACACTTGATAATAGGTTAGTGAAATCTAAGTGCAGAACTCACAACCAATTTGGGATTTGTGCCCTGCTTCTTAACAGTCTGCCCTGAGGTTGTTATTCACATGCTTGAGCCACCACAGGACAGCTTGACATTAGCAATGGTAGAAGTTTGAAGAAAAGTGTTAGCATATACACAGCCTGTGAATGAACAGGAGTGAGCAGGGTCAGGAAAGGAAAGAGGGAGGAGAGATTGATGGGATAAGTGGGCAAAGAGAAATATGGTACAAGGGGATAGGTAAGAAAAGAGCACAATATGGAGAAAGAAGAGAGAGAGAGATAAGGATGAGATGAAATAGACATAGAAGTTAACTAAGCCCCATGATCTATTATAGGAAAGAAAAAATGGAATAAGCCCTGGAAAGAAAGAAGATACAACAAAAGCAAGAGAAATTAAATACATAAAGATGATGGAACATTATTAGATAAATATATTATTCAAATGTCACCAATGTTATTTGAGTAATTTATTTGACACTGTTATTCAACCAGCTCTTTAGAGGGACACAACTTATTTGGCTAATATATTATTCAATATATATTAGTGAAATTTATCAAATAATAGACTTAATCCTTTTATTCTGCTATTTGATCAGCCATAGTAGTAAGTTAATTTTAAGAAGCATATTAAATAGACAGTTGATTGACAATGCTATAGTACACATTAAATAGTAAGCAAATCTTTCCTTTAAGCTGCCAGGCTCTGGAGAAGCCCTGGTGATGGCACTGCTATCTTTACATTGGCTAGTAGATTTAGTTCTCAGCCTAGTAGGTGTCAAGTAAATTTTTCAATGTCTCGGAATAGCCATTACCAAATTCCACTGGAGGAACTATAGGCCAAACTTTTTCTCAAGGCCAAAGCCTCTATTTAAAATTAGTCACCTTTGGTTATAACAGAGATGTAACCCAGTAGACAGAATAAACACAGGTACTGAAAGGCATCTAAAACGCACATGAGGCCAACAAACAAAGTGCTAGGGATGCATAGAGGGAGTGCCAGTGGCAAGCAGCAATAAAATAATTTCATGGTATTTTAAATGGAGCTTCAGTGCTGGCAGATTATTTTAGCATAATAACGAAGAGCTCAGTGTGTGCACACACCCTAGAGACTAACCTTGAGACTCACAGTGCAAGAAGAAATCCAGCTCGGAGACAAAAGGAGATACTGGAGCAGCAGAGAGAGGGTTTGAGGGCAGGGTAAATCCCAGGGAAAACAGAGAGAGTGGGCCAGACACAGAGACACACATAAAGGAGGGGGAAAAAAAAACAAAAAAGAAGAGACACAGTGAGACTCCCTGAACTTGGAAACTGGAAAGACGGGCTGGTAAAAGCAGACAGCATCATTAACGTCCCTACTCAGCAGCCTCTGTGAGAGTGTTTCACAGCATGCTGACTTCGCTTCTAGAAAAGCAGAGATTAAACAGCACATCAACTGACTCATCTCCCCCATGCAACAATGAGAAGCAACCCTAAAACACTTCTACTGATCAACCCTGCTTTGGAGGGTCACCATTCAAACGGCACAGACTTGTGCAACACTTGCTGCCTGCATCTCTTAGGTTAGAGCAGGTATTATGTTACCTTCTGTCGAGATATCCTCTGTGAAATAACTTGTGGCTTCCAGAGCAGACTCAGCCTCTTCTGAGATCAGAGCTGAACATGCAGAGAAAGGCAGAGAGAGAGAACAAGAGAAGATGATCAGGTTACTGAGGCACCTCCCCCTCCCATCTGCCATCATGTAACATCCCTGTGGAAACTACAGCAATTACTTACATTGATAATTCAGATATATCATTTTTTTTTAATTTTGTTTAAAATATTTAGCTGTCCTTCAATGCAATTTAGTAGCTGGAAATGAGGCTGGCTATGTAACCAGCTTTCTGCAAATCATCTGCAAATTCTTCATAGATCAGTTTGAGAACCACTAAGGTAGGATATCCACTCATTCCCCTCAGTAGTGGGAATACAAAAAAAAGCTTTATTGAAATATCTAGCAAAACACATAAGGATCCTCCTCAGCCATTGGGTGTCTGAGAGGAGGAGGGAGACGAGATCACCCACTCACCTGGAGGCAGGTGCAATTTGTAAAGTAGTTTAAGCTTCTCAGTCAGGTCACCATGGTACATCCCACCTGTGCAGGAAAGGGTGAGATAAATAGCCTTTAGTGTTAAGAGTCACTGATAGCTGACAGGATCCATCAAACAGACCGCTAGAGTTCCCATACAAGCAAGGGGAAGCTGAAAAGATCTGCAACTACAGCTCCTGTACAGAAAGAAATCTGTGCTGCTGCATCCTGCGCAAAGTCTAACTTGTTTAGCAAGAAGGCACGTCTCATTTTGTAATGACATCGTCCTCCCTCCTGGACGAATTCCATTGTCTCTCTATGGTTATGTGCTTGGAACAGTGGAAAACTTTGCTAAAACATTCCACGGCATCTCTAGAAAAGACACTTACTCATCCCTGTAACAAACTCCTTGAAGTTAATGAGAGAGTCCCTGTTCTCATCTAGAAGCCGGAACATTCGCCCTGCCAGCACAGGTGTGTGGAGGCCACAGGACCAGAGGGTTAGACTGTCAAACAGCTCTCTGAACTGCTCCAGGTCAATGCGATACTGCTCCAGGTAGGGCAAGCTCTGATCTCGGTGGGCGGCTGCAGTGTGGCTGCTCCCCCAATAACAGCTTGTCAGGTGTTTTGCCTTTGAGGGGAAAGAGTTAATAGGTCAAACCACTAATAGTTACACAAACCTTCATGCTTAGAGATTCAATTATACTCATGGACAAAGACACTGCGTAGCCAGATGTATGAGCAAAAGTCTCTTCTCTATTTTTCTCCTCCCCTTATTTACTCCGAAGGTCATGTGTGATCATGGCTGAACTCTGAGACATGAAAGAAGAGGATCTGATCAAACTAGAAAAAGACTGATTTCAAGGAAAACAAAAGGCACTATCAGATTTGGATGAAGACTCAGGCAGAGATTTGAGTACACAAGACTTGTCACAGAGTGAGAATTAAAGTTTTATGAATAAGTCATACCATCTTACTTTGCTAAGTCTACATCTTGCAACTGAGTATTTCAAGGCATCACAATCATTGAGTCTTATTACTCTCATGAGGTAGGGAACTATCACCCCATTTTTACATATGGGCAAACTGAGGCACAGAAGGGTTAAGTGGCTTGCCCAAGATTACAGAGCAAGTCAGTGGCAGAGCTAGGAATAAAACCAAGGATGTCTGAATCCCAGTCCCCTACTCTAGCCACTAAACATTTCTTTCCAACATTGCCAGCATCTCTCTCTGTGGAATATCATTTAAATGCTGTGAACAGTTTTCCATCATCTTTGTAAAAAAATCATCAGACATACTAGAGCCAGTCCCACTGGCACCATGTACCCCAGAGCCCCACTTCTGCTTCTGACAGATCAGATTCTGGATAGAAACACAATGCTATTACTTGCCCATCCACTCAATCTTGAATATCTTTCTGTATATCAGAGGCAGAGCGACTAGGACACATTCTTCCCCATACCAGGTTCCTACCTTGAACACCATATAAAGCTCTTCTAGTTCTTCCATAGAAAAACCAATGTCACCAGATATAGCTCGGACCTAAAGTAAGGAAGAGAAACAAAATGAACATTTATTTATTACTCCTAAACTGTAAAATGTATTCACTTACTATATAAAACAATATTTTATATACCATGAAAAAGGCCAAGAGACTTGACTAAGGTATAAGGGAGGAAGGAGTGTTATAGTGATTTTGAACTGAAGGAAAACAGTCTCACATTTCTGAGTTGCTAGGACAGGAAGATGCCAGCAACTGCTGACACAGAGAACAGCTGTACCTGCCTTGAACAAGGAGCGTAAACAATAAAAAGCTGCTCAAAGTGTTAAATGTGTTTTCTGCTCTGACTGCACTGTAATTGGAAGTGAGAACAAGTAACATATCACCTCTTTGCCTTTGTTTCACTTTGTGGCTTTCCAATGCACCTATTGTCAGACATCTATAGCGGGTGCTACAGTAAGAGGGGCAAAGGGAACAGGTTTCACAACTGGCACAAATAGAAGAGTAAAGTGGCAGTAAGATGCAGATGCTCCTCCTCTGCCCCAGTCCTCTGTGGGTTCCCAACATCATAGCACACACTCTGGGTGGGAAGGACATCAGTATCTGCCATCTTACAACCCTCAAAGAACCAAGATGAAAAGTAACAAATACAGGCAGCTCTAACCAGTGGAAAGTGTTACAAGGCCTGTTGTGGTTCATACTGGCAATGATTTGCCTATAATTCTACCAGGATCATGTCTTAGCACTTCAACCCAACTTGTTAGACTAGATCAATGAGAGTTAAACGGAAGTTGTTCAAGTCAGCAGATACATTTTCCACATTAACCATCATCCCTTTAGTCACCACATTCTGGGTTTGCTACAGAGCAGATTTTCAGAGGACTCAAAGCAAAATGTGCTGCATTAACATGCCAACTGGTAGCTTATTTAATCAGGGTGTTACATACCACGCTCCTCTTGGCTGTGTCTTCCAGGGATTGGATCACCTTCAATCTTTGCTTAAAGCGCATCTGTTCAATGTCATCTGCCCTCAAGTTGCTGAATTTCTATAGTAAGGAAGAAAAGCACATCGGTTTACCCCCATCTATCAATGAGACAAGTCTCACGTTCAGTAACATTGTTCAGCAAATCAGGAATCACCTTAGAAGTGACCTGAAAGGGAAAAAATGTCTTTTTGTCAATAGAGATAGTCTGCGAAGACTCTTTTGTTAATGGTGGGTGGGAAGTATAAGAACATGTGAGGAGATGTGCTAGCACTCGTTAGGAATCCATGTTCAAATTGAGTGCTGTACCTGTAAGGAGGCTGGGCTTTTTCTCAACAGCACTAATCAGACAAGTAAAACGATTTGGATGCTGCTGCTTTAACAAGGAGGGAAAAAGAAGGAATGAACAGTCAGAAAGAGTAGTGCTTTGAAGGAAGAGAGTGCAAAGACAAACGGGATTTCCTTGAGGAGGAGACAAACAGGCACAAGTTAATGAGAAACCGAGACTAGAAAGCAACGTAAGGTGCATGGGAAGAACAGCATAAGGGTGAGCTGAAGGGAGAGGAAAAGGACAATGACAGAAGATAGAGAGGAAGAGAGCATCAGAGAAAAGAAATCCACCTGAAAAACTAAGTCTTTTCCCAATTTTTCTAATTGCATTGAGAGAGAGGACGTGTCAAGTGGGCACCGATGACTGCCCTGGTAATTAAACATAAAAATAAGCTATTTTCTCCCATGCAAATCTACTGTTGTCATCATCCATGAAGAGTTACTTCTGGAAAAGTGTAGCTGAGAACAGGGAGAACTCACGCTACTTCTGTAATATGGCCTATTGGATTCATGGCTGCTGCTGCCACCACTCCCAGGTTAGGAGACTTCAGGTCATCCAGCTATCATCACAACGCAGACACCGCAGAATGGGATTCATGGGCATGCCAAACCTGGCACTATGAGTTTGGTGCAGATACATCACTCACAACTCTCCAAAAGTTTATCCCCCAAATATTCCTTTTTATTCCAATGTTCAGTAATTAAGTTACCTCCACAATTCCCTGGCATTGGCTAACCCCATGCAAAACAACAGTCTAAAGCTTTTCTCCACAGAGTGGAGGGAATCTCTGACCTATTAGCTTTAGCAGGCACTGAGAATCAATTTTTAGTTTTAGTTAGCATGGTTGGTGAGATTTCATGGAATCTGAAAAGAAGAACAACAGAGTCGAAGTCCCCTTGTATTTAACATGAAGACTACTGGCCCAATCCTGCATTCCTTGCATAATCCATATTCCTAGGCTTTGTCTACACCAGTGGTCCCCAATGTGGTGCCTGCGGGCGCCGTGGCGCCCGCCTACTGACAAGGGAGCACCCCGCCGCCGAGGAACACGACCGCCGAACAAGCTGCCTCCGAGAAGCAGCAACATCAAGAAGTGTCACTGCCGAAATGCCGCTGCTTCTCGGCGGCGACGCTTCATCGCGTTGCCGCTTCTCGGCGGCATTTCGGCGGCGACGCTTCTTCGCGTTGCCGCTTCTCGGCAGCATTTCGGCAGCTGCTTGTCCAGTGGCCATGCTCTTCGGCAGCTAGTCGTCAGGAGCCCGCCACATTGAAAAGGTTGGGGACCACTGGTCTACACCATAGGGGAAATTCGATCTAAGCTACACAATCTGAGTTGTGACTAGCATAACTCAAAACAACGTAGCTTAGATCTACTTACTGCAGGGTCCACACTACGTGATGTCGACAGGCGAGCGTCTCCCGTCGACTCCCCCTACTCTTCTCGATCCAGTGGAGTACAGGAGTCAACGGAAGTGCAATCTGTGGTTGATTTAGTGGGTCTTCACTAGACCCGCTAAATCGACCGCCAATGCATCGATCGCCACAGCGTCAATCCTCTGGTAAGTGTAGACAAGCCCCTAGTGAAGCCAATGAGTCTTGGCTGCACAAGGAATGCAGGACTGGGCCTTAAGCGGCAAAGATCCCTCAAGTAAATATTAATCTTGCCTCTGACCTCATAAGATGTTTTGATGAGTTCAAAGATGTCAATTTCAAGTGGTGGCTCATCTCCACTTGTGAGTAAGGCATGCAGGTGTGGAATAGGTGGGGAAATACTTTGTCGATTAATTACATTGTCCAGGTACCTGTGGGGATAAACAAAGAACAAAGGCAGAGCTCTGGGTTAATACAATCTCAAGAATTAACAAAAAAGCAAGTAAGATCTTAAACATACTATTTCCACTTCCTTTGGACAGTCAATCTCGTTGGCTAGAATAATTTATTTCTTTCCAGCTAGCCTGCCTAGCTCCATTGATGTCTCTTTCACTCTAGTACAATCAGTTTTCATTTCATTCTTCAGAGCACCTGTTTTTAAATGAGGTTTCAGAAAAATAAGGTGCAGGTGGTGGCATATTTGGAATTGATCAACATTTCACTTTGCTACAGGAAGCCTTCTGACATTTGCTACACTACAGGAAGATTTGCCTCACTAGGTTTTAGGAGACTCCTTCCGTTAGAAGCTGTTACTGACAGTGAATCAGAATTCTCCCTAGATTTGTAGCAGCAATCCTTCAAGCTAGACAGCAGGGATGCATCAAGACAGGATGGGCTTTGGGAAATATGATGGAACTCTTCATGTTATACAACTGCAACAAATCTTGTACAAAGTATGTCATGTAAGGTGTCAATGGAAAAGTTATGATTTGCTAAATATGATTATCCTGTTTACATGCACGTATCATTTTTGTATCTGACGTTATGAATATTGGCTATGTATTGGCATCATACATATGTGTTGTATTCCTGGGTAACAGCCACCAGGTAAAACTTACATTAAGGCCAAACAACTATGTATTGATGGCCCACCAAGGACATGTAGCTCTCCCAATAGGCCATAGAAGAAACTCACTCTGCCCAGGTAGCTCCTTTGGTGGACACCTCAGCAAGAATACAGACAATGGCTACCCCCTGAGAGTCATCAAGCCATGTAAGGACATATGATGTGCTCATGTGATCCTGGACTCCATCTTAGGCCAGTAACTTTCCACAAACAGAGATAGTAAATTTCCAGGCACATGGCAAAGGATATAAAAGACCCCTGAGCTATCTCCATTTTGCCTCTTTCCTGCCTTGATTCTCTGGATTGTGGATTTACAACTAAAAGGAGCATTTTGAACTATGGACTGAAGACCTTCCAATCTTTTGGAAGTTATCAGAGAGATTTTACAAGCCAGCAGTCTATTCCATCACTGCTACAAACCTGATATAAAGACTTTGATCATATACATACAAATAATTGCAATTAACATTAACAACTCTCTTCTTTTTCTCTTTTATTATTAAAGCTTTAGTTTTAGTTAATAAAGGCATCAGCGTGATTATTGGGTTGAAAGAGCTGAGTTATATATTGACCTGGCTAAATGGCTGATTTCTTGGGATTAGATGAATCCCATATTTGGTTAAATTGGTTTTCAGTAACTACTCATCAGACGGTGTCTAGGTGGGAAGACAAAGGCTGGAATGCCTAAGGAGACTGAATTTTTGACTTCCTGTTAACCAGTGTGGTGAGATAGAAGTTTACTTTTATTACTGGATTGGTATAATCTAATGTTAGAATAACCAGCAGTTTGGGGTGAGTCTGCCTTATTTCTCAGCAGTTTGTCCTGAATTTGGCATCCTCAGCTGTGACCCACTGAGACACAGTGACATCTAGTAAAGACAGTTCGAACTGCTAAGCAATGAAGATTGTGAGAGCATGAAAAATATTAAGGATTTTACACCAGAGTGGAAGGGCGAGTACCACTGCCATTCATTTAATTATAAAGAAGAGTAATAAGGGCTACCTGCCCAGGACAGTCATGGCTTCGCCTTCATCACAGCAGTTTAGCAGCTTCTCCATGTTGGCATCCAGGATGGCCAGAGACACCTGCAAGATAAGCTTGATACCCTCGTAGAAGAAGCAGTCAACAATGACCACAGCACTCTCAAAGGGCATGACGCTGAGGAAGAGGGTGAGGAACCAGGAGAGAGAAATGGTGGAAATCACTCCCAGCTCCTGCATCTTCTCTGACAGTTGTGGAAGGTAGTCTCGCGTGAGCTCCTCAAAAATGCCTTGGTCCACTAATGCACCTGAAAAGACAAGGGGGAAGTGACAATTTGGTATCACGGGACTGAGCACAAAGTAATGTAAATCTATGCTAGTTAGATAAATATTGATTCTAGTCACAAACCAGCCAGTTTTCAACAGAACTGAAATCAAGTAAGGTTTGGTCATATGTATTTCCTGGTTCCCTCTTTAATATAGCTGAAGAATTCTGCATACACATGACTATCATGTGATCTGCTACTGTAGAGCCTGAGTTAGCAAGTCATTAATTGATCTGTATATCCCACCAGACAAAAGAGTGGTGGGGTAAATGATTATTATTCTAAAAATAATGTCACAGAAGCAGAGAGATTAAAATTGAAGAACTGTGTGGGACATTCGCCTACAGCACATACGTTAGTGCTTTATTCAGTCTAATTTTAGAAGTTCCAAGCAATGGGGCTTCCACAACTTCCCTTGGGAGACTATTCTAAAACTGAACTGATCTCACAATGAGGAAGTATTTGATAGGCTATTTTTTTCCCCTAATTTCATCCCTCTAGTCATGTACACTTTTAGCTCTTTTAAATCTCTTTCCCTGTAAGCCTAGCCCTCCAGCCCCCTCCCATTTCTGATTCTCTTCTCTCTCTTCCCTCCAATTAATAGTTGTCTGGTCCTGAAGGGTTAAGAACTGAATTATCTCAGGAGGAATAACTGGATATTTAGAATTTGCAGGAAATTCTTTACACATCACTAATGAGGCCAAAGCTTTCATCGGCTAGTGTCCCACACTCTTTCAAATGCACTGTGTTTAATGGTCTGTTAATAAATACGACTGTCCTTCTTTCCTGAGTTCTGCTGATCGTATAGTAGAAGGAAATGCCGGCCCCCATGATGAATTTGACAGACTCACCCACTACCCTGGAATTGTAGTAATCTGGCAGCATCCGCTCACACAAGGCCACTAGGAGCCAGAAAGCCTCTTCCTCATTGCAGTACAGCAACAGTACCGATGTTACAATGTTCATGGCCTGGGAGCAGGTAGAGCGACACAAACATGCACGGAGAAGAAAATACCACATTAGCTGAGGATGTTCAGGAAGGTAATGGGACACTATAAATGTGAGATAAATGTGGTTAAAATACTAAGCTCCTATGGATAAGGTAGGGGACTGGGAGTCAGAATATCAATGTTCTGTTTCCAGCTAACCACTCTAGGCCTCAGCTCCTGCAGCTGTGAAATGGGGATAACTCCACGCATCCTTGTAAAGCACTTTGATCCATGGAGCAAAGAATTAGTATTATTTAACCAGGTTACTAAAACCTTGAAAATGGTATTTATACGGAAAATGCTGAGACAGTTTTTAATAGAGCAGTGTGTAGGGGGCTGTAAATATCCAAAGGATACACAAAACTATTCAGTTCCTACATACTCTGGATATCCTATATCAGTTTACAAATTAATGAGTTTGATGCAGGCTGTGCACAGTCAATACAGCTGTCTTCGTAACCTCAACCAGTTCTCATGCACTACTTAGGAAACTAGAAGGTGCTTTTACTAAGCGAGGGAAAGTTAGCCAGGACACTGGGGGCTCTCCCCAGTCTAATAAAATATTCTGTGGCTCACAGTCACTAGAGATAGACAGAACAAACTGATTTAACATCACATCCAAAGGACAGTTACAGTTTTACAACACAGCAGCCCCTGCCTTATTGCTAGAGTACAAGGGCATCATCAAGGAGGATCCCAAATTCAAGTATGAAACTTCCTTAAAATGGGGGTTTGGCTTTCAGTAATGTACAAAGCGTGGGGTGGCTAATTTATACTCCCCTCTTACCTGACAGTACCCGATTGTGGGGTTTCGGAATGCGTAAGCTGTCAGGACCCTCCGAAGGGCAGCGATCCCCAACTCATTCTGAAAGGCAGGGTGCTCTGGCATGGAACGGTGCAGGTCTCGCTCAATTTCCTCTGTGGCAAGGCTGTATTTCCCCATTGACTTTTCCACCAGCTCTGCATAGTACCCAGGAAACGTCACCATCTCATTCCAGGCCCCTACAATGACAAAGGCACTGCTTCATTCCCTTGTTCCCAAAGTTTCAGTGAAGGGGCAGATAGGGGACGGTACACAGACTCAAATGAATACAAGCAGATCTCAAGGTTCAGAAACAAATCTGCAGTTAAATCAGATAATTCCCCAGCTTCTGAATGTCACAATCCTGACAAAGAAGACTATGTAGCTCCTGGGAGAAGAGGGAATTTAGAATATCCTGTCACTGTACTGTCATGCAGCACAAGCAGGCAACAGATCATAATCTCTTGAGAAAGCACCTGCTGGCATATTGCATACAGATTGTGAGAGAAATTGGGTCTCTTTAAAGCTTCATGCAGATGGAGTACACCTGGGAGTAAAGGATTAATTTAGAAATAAATGTGATCCATTTAGATATGAACATTTAACTCTCCCAATCTCGGAAATGTGCAGAAGGCCTGATATTTGCTAACTGCAGAAGGGCTACCCGTTACCTGGGAACTGTCATGAGTGTACAGTAGAGCCTTTTACCTGAGAACAAGAGCCACAACTCTCCACGAAGATTCTCTGGGATCCCTTTTAGTACCAGTTCGCGGGTCTTGGCTGTGCGATACATACACATTCCTCGCCCATACTCAAAGAAATGAATATTCCATGACTCTTCCTTCATCTTCTCCTTTGCCTAAGAGGGAAAAACAAACAGTGCCATTTGGATGGACTAAAGCATTTCCATCAAGTTCACCTATAGAATGGGAGGTTTCTACTCAAGCCTGTACTTGACAAAGGAAATACAGTGCCACATTTAAACTGTTCCTTCTTACTTATTCTATGATGTGCTACATTCACTATGTACATAATTTATGAACAACTGATCATCTGTATCAAGTTTCTAAGTATTCACTGACAAAATGTGCAAGCAAGTAGGTTGAAACGTGACATTGACACAGCTTTTACTTGAATAAAAAGAGGCGCTAGTTGAGGATGTGATGGATGGCACTGTAGTCATGACACATCACCCTTCATCTCAAAGATCTGATTTTAAATAGATCACAAGTGAAATGAGTTTGGTGGCCTCAATCAACATTTTATGTCTCATCTACAACACAAATGTAACCAAGTCAGAGCATTCTCTTACTACATGGTTAAAATTACCACGTCCCCGTACCCAGGCTAAAGCTCTTGGAAATCTCAAGTGAGAGCGAAACTGACTCAATGGGTACTTGTCAATATCGCAAAAGCACAAGAATTTAGTACAATTGGCAGTCTTCGCTCAAGTAGCCCACGACTGGAAAAATCAAGATAGTGCTTGGGTTACAGCTAAGATGCATTTCCAGAGCTGTATGGGAGCCTATCAATGGAACTGCAGCTGGTGACACAGGTCAGTGGAGAGATGCACTGATGGAGCTTTGGGGTATAGAATGAAGAACGACGAAGCTTTCACTGTGCCTGCCTGTTCTAGTCAGCACTTCACTTTAACACCAAACTCATTGCAATAGTTGTTTTACTTTATATGTAAACAGCTTGCATACCGCTTTGGGTCCTAAGAGCTCCTCGGAGTCTCTCCTGAAGAGTTTGAGTAGCCCCTGGGAGGCTGTTGGCACCTCCCCTGTACAGAAGCTGACCAACTGGTTGTTGAGAGTAGAGGTTGGGCTGACTGCAGGTGGACTAATGGAAGAGAACTCTGGAAACTCCTAAAGAACAAAAATATATAATCTGAAAAAAAGCATAATAAGCTTCTACTGTTTATTTTGCAAGCACATTTTGTGTGGTCAAATACTACACTGAAGACCCCTCTACAAAACATGGTGACTTCTCCCTGCTGCCCAACCAATACAACTCAACCCAGCCCTTGCAGGACCGCTGCCTAGAGTAAAAGGGAGCTCAGGCTCTAAGCCCATTGTATATTTCCCCTTTCTACCCAGACTAACAAAGGTGCCAGCTGTGATGTGGAGACCTGCCAACAAAGATTAGATGGAGATGGCCAACAGGCTACCGAACAGTAGCAATGCCACTTCTGTCCACTAACCTAAAAGTAAAAACTTCTGTATCTCATTACCAGTCCCCAGAGCTATCCATTACTTAGCTTTAAGAACTATTCTAAGATCTTCACCCATAATCCATGAATGTATTCAGATTTATTGTCTCATGCATCCTTAGGAGACCTATTGGGCCACATCCTCTGCTGTAACAACGAGGAGTCCGGTGGCACCTTAAAGACTAACAGATTGGTTAGTCTTTAAAGGTGCCACCGGACTCCTTGTTGTTTTTGTGGATAAGACTAACACGGCTACCCCTCTGATCCTCTTCTGTGTCCAGATCTCACTGACTGTAACAAATAAGAGTCACTAGAGGCTGCTCCAAACTGTGCCAGCTGGGGATTACCAGAGCATAGTTAGCTTTGGCCAATTCCCCTGCTCACCCTGACATGTCCCCCACACCAGGGGTTGTGGAAAGGGAAGCTTTACACTTCCTGGGGACTGTCCCATGCTGAGGGTATCCCTGGCACGGGATTTAGGAGGAGGTTTCTGCTCCCTTTACACTGATTGACTGTGCAGAAGGGCACAGCGGACCAGAGAATCTAGTCTAATATTTCAGCCTCTCTCTCTCTTCCCCTGCTTTTCAAAGCAATAGATGCTGCCTACTTCCTTTCCCCTTGCCAACAGCACTCCCCCAGCATAAACACCATTTTCTCTGTGATGCTCAGGCTCACAGGAACTAGCTTTTGTTATCTTGAGAAATTATAATTCAACTCTAACCAATGAAATGGGTAACTTCCCTAATCTGCAGAGAATGGTGACGCAAATGAGAAATTGATGTAAATAGGTCTTATTCCTAGTGTTCCTCATTATAAAGACCTGAAATGTCTGAGCTTAGTCAGCCTCCAGCTTTCAGAGTAGGAGTCTGATAGGAAGATGCCATTTGCTGGAGTAGACAATGCAACAAACGTCTCTTTGGAAAGGTGGAAAGCCCCCTCCAGAACCGTGCCCTAGTACCTCACATCCAGTGTCACTGAAGCTCCCCTTCCACTTTCTGCCAGAGCCATCCGATTTCTTTGATGGTGTTCTCTGCAAGAAGTCAGAGATTCTCTGTACCAGGAAATCTCGGTCCTTCAGGTTGGCGAAGAGGAAGGTCATTTTACTTTTGGTGCTGATGGAGAGAGGGCGGGGCAAGACACTGGAGCTGTCTGCTTTCTCAACAACTGCCACCTGGAAGAGACAGTCACAGGCAATTTGGATATAGTAGGACTCCATCATTTCCATTTGATCATTAAAAGGGACTCCGAGATGCATGTCCAAATTTAACTTGCTATAAAACATTTATAACCTGGATTGTCCTCTAGGTATTAATTTTTGCCAGCACATCAACTCCATCATCAAGACATGTAACAAGACACATGCAAGCTGGTCTCAGCCAGCAGCCTCTGCTGTAGCTGATGTGGTTTTTACAAGAATGATAGTGGTGGCTGATGTGGAAAGAAGGGGGAGAAAACTGATGGAGCACCCCCACAAAGAAGAGTTTACTTTGCTTTTTAAACACCTGCTTCCTCATGCCTGCCATGTGGTTTATACAGAAAGATCAGAGGGCTTTCCTCAGTTTCCTCAGCTGAAGGACAGACTTTTCACTGCCCCCTATCAAGATGCTGAGTCCCCTTTTAAATTGAAAGAATAAAAACATACGCAGTGTGAATAAGATTTTGCCTTTTTTCCTATTTACAAAATGGAGTGTATAAACAAAGTAAGAAAATACAAGAGCTTGTTTAAAAAAAATGCTACTTTTCTAGAATAGGAGAGAAAATGCCAAGACAGAAAAGTGTGCTCACCTGCATTGTGCACAAACAGCTCAGCCTGATTCTTTAACAGTAGCCCTATCTCCACTACTACAGAACAGAGCAAGACACCCTGAAAGCTTTTTTTTTTTATAAGAGCTACACAAAAAATTGTGTTGTTGTTTCCCCTTCCTTCTGGTACAGGTAGTTAACAAGTGCTATTGAAGGAGCTGTGTGGATTTCATTAATGATGGCACACAAGCAAAATGCATTTCAGCTTAATTAAAAATAGAAGAAAAAATCTGTTTGCCAAATGGGAACCGAGAAGGTAGCACAGGGGAAAATGCTACTTTCAAGCTGCTAAGAGGTCTATTACAAACAGAAGAGGAAAAACAAAATCTAAACTGTAAAAAAACAAAAAACAAAACCAAAGCACCAGAAAGCCAACAGTCACAATGTCCTTTGAACAGACTTTGTTAAACACTGAAAGTTTGACTTGTCTCTGGATACTTCCAGAATTGGATAAGAAACAAACTTACTAGTCAGTAGTCTCATGGTTACTGAAGAAAACATTTGTCTGTGTTCTCTACCTTTGCTTCCTTCCCTGTTACTCGGATTTTGGAGACAGATTTCTCTTTCAATAGGAACTGATCTCAGTCTTTTGCTAGAATCATTGCCCATTACGAAAGAATCCCCCAGTACCTAAATAAACTGCCATTTCTTGTGAAACCGTTTGGGAATCATTAGGTAAGGGATAGATGATAAGACAGAAAACATATTGCCTCTCTCTAAATCCATGGTCTTGAATACTGTGTGCAGATCTGGTCACCCCATCTCAAAAAAGATATACTGGAATTGGAAAAGGTACAGAAAAGGGCAACAAAAATTATTAGGGTTATGGAACAGCTTCCATATGAGGAGATTAATAAGAATGGGACTTTTCAGCTTGGAAAAGAGACGACTAAGGGGGGTGGGGGGAGTATGATAGAGGTCTATAAAATCATGACTGGTGTGGAGAAAGTAAATAAGGAAGTGTTATTTACTCCTCATAACACAAGAACCAGGGGTCACCGAATTAAATTTATAGGCAGCAGGTTTAAAACAAACAAAATGAAGTATTTCTTCACAAGTCTCTCGCAGTCGACCTGTGGAACTCTTTGCCAGAGGATGTTGTGAAGGCCAAGACTATAATAGGGTTCAAAAAAGAACTAGTTAAAATCATGGAGGATAGGTTCATCAATGGCTATGAGCCAAGATGAACAGGGATGCAAAACCATGCTCTGAAGCGTCCTTAGCCTCTGTTTGCCAGATGCTGGGAATGAATGACAGAGGATGGATCACTTGATGATTACTTCTTCTGTTCATTCCCTCTGAAGCACCTGTCATTGGCCACTGTCGGAAGACAGGATACTGGGCTAGATGGACTATTGGTCTGACCCAGTATGGCTGTTCTTATGTTCTTAGCCTACGGATTAACCTACTGTGGTCAAGAGCCAGGATTCACAACCTGTAAGCACCAGAAACACCCAAAAGCTAAAGACCAAAAGCTTGTAGTCCTGATGCATAAGTGGCTTTTCATTCTAACAGGTTCCCACCTCCCTGAGTGGAATGATGAGATGACAGGCCTCCTCTGCCTTGCTGGCAAAACAGATATAATTGTTGGAAACAAACATCTGGCCAGGGATGTGCATCTTGTTAAATGGAGTCCACAAGGTGCAGTCTGTATGTCCATCCAGGCGTTCATCCTTGGGCAGCCGGAAGGTGGCACGGTACCAATCATTTTTGGCTCGAGCATCCAGATCTCTGAGGGGGAGGGGAGAAAAAGAGAGAAAGGTAATCTCCACACTGGGAGGCATGAATGGCCTCACCCTCCATCCTCAAAATCCTAAGAAGGAAACACCACAACCAAAGGTTCATTCCAGTCACAACGTGCAGGAGTGCCTCTTATCTTCTCACTGTTCACTTCTCAAACTGAGATATACCACAACACCCACACATTCTCTGGAGCACAAGTACTTAAAAGATAAAACAAGGTTTCTCTCAGGTGCATCTCATAAACATAAAATATACCTTACTCTTGTAGATAAATACTTTGAGGAAAATCATCACAAGGTTGAAACAGATGGATTTAAACAACTGTGCAACCTTCCATCCCAAAACAGTGGTACTATTAAAATTTGTACAATACTTTGAAAATGTAAAATGCTATAAAGCGTACCATGATTTTTTAAAAGATCCTCACCTTTTAAAAAAAGGAGATCAAAGCAGAGGATTGGGGGGAAATATAGGGATCCTGAAAGCATGCTTCTAAATAGTTGCATGTGGGTAAGGCATGCATTACTGTACCAAAGCAGAAGGCATTGTAGATTAAGTCATCTCCAATAAAAGCAAATTCTGCTTACATGATTATTTTCAGATAGGGATCATTGAAAGTTCAGTCTATGCCTTCATGCACAGGGGGAAAACTGAACTTGTCTAAAAAATAGATGAATTGTACTCAGGACAAAAATGAGCATAGCTACAAGGGGGAAATGTCAGAGATTATGTAGCACCTAAAGTAATCAAGCCTTGATTCAGATTTGGGCCTCAGGTGCTAATCAATATCACCAAATAATGTACACCCATTCTTTGACTCTCCTGCTCCCACCTTCCCCGTCCCCATTTCCACTGCTGGAAGAGACACACACCTTTTGAGTGCAGAGATGTTCTTTAGAGGCTTGCTGGGCTTGGGAAGGGATTTGTCCTCCAGGAAGCCCTCGTTGTCCAATAGCTGTCGCATGGCGATATTAGCCAGCTGTTCCATCAGCTTGAAGGTCTCATTGATGTTGAGGAACATGGAGAAGTAAAGCTCGCTATCCCTGGTACTCACTTTAATGCACTCAGGGAACAGCAGTGTGGCGTTTTTTTCCAGCTGTGTCACGTCCACCCACTGGACTACCAGGGTCACTAAGGAAGCACCCAAAGTAAACCCACCAATTACAACGTGATGCAAAACACACACACAGCCAGTAGGAGAGAAGTTAAAGTAGCAAGCAAGACTTGCTATTTCTTTTCCCATTCTTGGGCAATTTTTTTTTCTTCCCAAGTGCTTCACCATAAAGAAAGCACCGTCTGAGAATAACTGGCCTCTGAAACAATACTGGATCCCACCTGAATGTTGCTGAATCAGTGCATACTCCTAATTATATCTTCTCAGGTTTTCATATCTCATCCATAGCAGATAACTACGGGCAACAGAGTAACTCCTGAGGCAAATGCCATCAAGATCTGAAAACTCCAATAAAGAACCCCAAACAGGACTACATTAATGCGAACTAGGAACCTTTTAGTTTTCACTCACAGTATCCACATGGGGGAGTTACAGTGCAGCACTTGTATGTGCACTGTTTGCACCCCCATATTCTGAACTGCAGGGCAGTTCAGACATAGCCACAGGCTTCTAGATCACTTTAGGTGCTTTTGAGAATTCTACCCATAAAGTCATGAGAAAGCTAGATGACAAGTGTAAGTGGGACCTGAAGGCTGTGTGCTGGGGCTAAAAGAGGATTTCCATGGGGAAAAAAAAATTAAAACAGCCAAAAAAGCCCACACCAATGATCAACTAGATCAAGGGGGAAAGTGGCAGACAAGAGCACACAGCAAGCTGATAACTTACCTTCTTTGCCCAGCAGGAAGGAGTAGAAACAGATGTGATTGACAGTCAGATACAGCCAGCCCTGCCTTGGAACACGCCCTTTCCAATAGCTGCAAGAATAGTAATTGACTAGCTTCTCCACCTCAGGCATTCCAAACTGTTTCCGCATCTTGAGTTCAGCCTCCTTAAATTTACCTGGATCCTCTTCACCCTGGGGCTGCTGATTCTTGTTCTCTTCAGCAATAATGCCCTGAAGGGAGAGGAGAGGATGATGGAAAGTGGAAAAATCAATGCTGCCTTCACTTACAGTGTTAAAGTAGCACAATCTCAGAGATAGAGAGGAAGAACATGGCAAGGGAATCCACACCAGATCCAAGTTAAAGGCAAAACAGAGACGGTTAATAAGAACAACAAACCAGACAGCTTGGAATCCTGTTAAAGGTGAACCTATGCCTGAACACACACTTAAAGCTAGTGTCCATAAATAACATTTCAGTGTCCTTCTCCTGACTGGCCTGGTAACTCAGAGTTAGCACTCTATACTGCCATGCAGGAGACCTGAGGTCAATTCCTGGTACTGCTGAAGAGTGAGCATGCTCCCTAGAGGGCTTGGAGTTCCACAGACAGCACCAATGGGCACTAAAGACAGCTCTGTCCTAATCTGTTTAACCAGAAGGAAAGGACTGACAGTAACCCAAGAGTTGGGGGAAACAGGCAAGGAACCTGACAGAGATACAAAGGAGTCTCAAGAAAACACAATTTTTCACAGTCACAACTAATAACGATGTCTTAATGTTTTGTTTTCTAGATTACAGTAACAAGTCACTCCTACTTTATGGAGATTTTTATCTTCCCTTTCAATACCATCTAAAAAAAGCCTACCATTGACTTACAGTGACACTGTGGGTCTGATTTTCAAAGACAACAAGAAACTACAACTTACATAACTTCAATGGGAGTTGCATGTCCTAAGGACCTCAGAAAAATAGACCCTATCAGCTTGATAGGTTAAAATAGAAAGAGTTCTCCTTGACAATGGTCCACAACTTGCACTTCCTACCCTGAAAATAAAGTATTCCCCCCCCCTTTAAAAAATTCAAATTCAACAGCTAAGATGCTGAAAAAGAAACTGCCTCTGTGTTACCAATATCCAGGAGCATACACCAATTTGTGACTCAAAAATGTGTGCTATTATCATATTTCTATTAGAAGGATTTTTCTGGAACATTCACAGATCTATTTTAAGGATAGGATGACTTTAAAAATAGATCAGTTTCTTAGCTTATCAGTGCCTACAGTGTCCTTTTCAGCAAGCACAGATGCCCTTCTCTGTTCGAGTCAGCCACCTTGATGGCAGAGCCACTGCCTGGGTAGTGCTACTGTTTCCAAGTTGCCCACTTTAGTTATTTCTTGCTCTTATCACCTCCATCTCTCTAGAGGATGGATCATCACATTAGCTCCTAGCATCATTCTCAAATCTACAGTCTAGTTTATAAACAGCTTGATTTTCAATTTTCAGAAATGTGGACACAACTGTATCTATGGCTGCACCTACAACTATGCCTCCATCTACCAAACCAAAGTATGGATAACATATTCCACCCTAGACTTCAGGCAAAGGCCAAAATAAGTCAGGGGAGCTTTGCACTGCTTCCAAAGCTTAACTTTGGGCACTACCAGGACAGCAAAATCCAGAGTTAAAGGCCCTTCACCAAAAATGCCAGCAACCCATTTGGATCTAGGGACTGACAGTGAAGGTACATCAGCCAAGTTCAACTGTTGCTATAAAACACAAGAGAAGAGGAAGTCTCAGAAAATGAGGACCCAGATCATCTAGGGAATTAATAATCTATATCAACATGCTGAGACAAAAGCACTGTTTCTGACATTCTCAGGCTGTCTTTACTACTATAATATTTCTAGTGAGAAACTGTCAAGCATTCAGAGACCTGGTCCATCCACCTCCTTCACGGTCTCTACTAATTGGGCAACAGCTGACTCTACCCTCATCACACCAGGGGGGCAAGATTACTTACTCAGTGTCCCCCCAAAAAATCAAAGGCCCCACCCACTTACAGTTCAGACTGATTCTTTCTTAGTTAACCCCTCAACCAGCAGAGATGCTAGTGTTTGTTTGAAACAGAGCACCGTGGGAATTAGGATACAGTCACCTGACACCAGAGACAGATTCTGGATAGTCCGAGCAGGGGAAAGTGCACTGTTTACAGGCTAGAATTATCTGGTGACAAACATGGGGGAGGCCAGACAGTGAAATGTGGTCCTCTTGCAATGTGCCAAAGATACAGCTCATGGGGATAATGTCAGACGGGCAGCAGGTTTTAGTGAGTTACTGCACCAGAAGAATTCTCAAAGGTAGATTGCTCTTTGAGATCTGTTCTTGTCACATGATTTCTACTGCAGTATGTATTAATCCTGAGCTATTGCAGCAATAACATAGTACTGATAAAATAGTATAAGTTATATGAAGATCTGAAGCATACCTATGTCCAGAGAAGGTGAAGATGGAAATATCTATAGGGAATTTTTTTTCCCCTCCAAAAGGTAAAAAAATCTCACCACCACCTCCCCATGACCTGCAGGGAAACATGTGCCCCTTACATGTATCTTGCCCTTGACAAAAGTGGTGATGTCGTCCTCATTATCAAAGATGGAGAGAGTCTGCAGCAAGTTATTCTCTAGCCATTCCCAATGCTTTGTGATCTCCTTACGAGATGAGCCTAGCAGGGGGACAAACAGGAAATAGTCAGAACACCATTCTTCTTGCAAGTTCACAGTAGAAAGTCAATAAAAGCATCACCGCAGATAACAGTGGGCAGGGCACCTGTAACCAGTCAACTACACCATGCTATGGAGTCATTTAAAAAAAAAATATATATATTGAAAGTCAAACTGCTGTTGCCAATGCCAGGTCCTCCTAGTGGCGACAAGCAGCATTTTCTATTGACAGCCACGCACACTATAGGTCAGCCTGCCTGCAAGTGTACAACAAGTCCTATTTTCCCCTAAATCACACAGCTTGGAAAGGTTTTCTTAATTCTTAATTAGTATTTTACACCCTACAGAATATTAGGAAAACTTTATACAAACTAATTTCAGACAAATAGGACTTGCTGGATGCCTGCAGTTTGACGCTATTCTCCAATGCTGTGCATGACTGCCAGGAGAGAGCAGATGGACCTGAAATAAACAAACAAGGCAAACGTGAAACATTCACATTTGAAATGCTGCTGTGCTGTTTATTTGGGATGTTTGGCACAATTTCTTTCTTTCAAAAGAAGCTTGTTTGTCAATCACTTTAATGCTACATCAGCAAGTTTCAAGTTTTAAAATCCTCTTTCATGCTGGAGCAAATTAGGAGGAGGGGACATTTCTACAGAAAGGGTAGCTGGCCTGTGGTTTTGTTCCTTTAGCTATTTATTTCAGAAATGTACATTTTAGTAAGAGATTTCTCCCTTTCCACCCAGGCTCAACTTTGCATTCAAGTCAGAACCATGGAGTAATGGAAATGGTTATATCAGGTATTCATTGTTATAACTTCAGAGCAGTATGAAAGCACAGAAGATAGACGGAAGCCTTCACAGAAAAACTAAGAACTTTGGTAGATAGCAGATAAAGTAAGAAATATAATGAAATGCAAGTGAAAGATGAATCCATTTATGTTTAAGTCTAAAATGTTTGTAAACTTCCTCCTCAATTAAATTCCAGTAAGTTCTAAAATCCTACTTCAACTATATACAGGACTCACTCCAAATTGAAAACAGTATAGAAATGGGATTCCTAAAAATGTGTAGGTGAACATTTCAATGGCTTTAATGACACAGCATCCATCCTACCAAGCAATTTCTATGCAGGCATAGAAGCCCCTGCACCAGGGCTGATGAAAGAAAGGAGGAGAAGGGGCGACAAGGAAAGATACAAAGCTCCCTGAAGCTCTTACTCTACACAAGATTTATTTCTTACCTTGTTAAGAGGCAACCTCGGCAACAAATGAATCACAGCTGAAAGGTCTATAGTTGGACACCTAACAATGAAACTACCCCATCCTGTTTGTGGTTACGCAAACCAAAATAACCTCAAGATCTGAAACCAGAAACTAGAATCAGCAATAAATATTTCTGCCTCAGGGGACCATGAATTGTGTCTTCACTAGGTCAATGGAGTATAGACAAATATACACAAAGTCAGGAGGAAAGAAGAAGTTTACCTGTAGCCTAACTTTAGTCATTGATACATGTTTTCAAACTAAAAGGATCACACAATCTTAAAGGACTTATTCTAAAGGCACCTAAGTATCTGCTTGGTGCTTTGGACTTGGAGGAAGCAGAGTGTTTATAGCATGGGAATGAATCTGGAATTCTGTTTTTTCCCCCTTAATTATTGTTTGAGTTCTTTCTATGAAAGACACTAGAGTCATGCAGAGTATTATTGTTCTATATGTACCACTATGTTACAAGAATGTTAGGACTTTACAGTTAATCACTCAATAGTCAAGGAGGACAAAAGCTGAGGTTGCATATACAACTAGAACTCTATCCACTCATATTTATACAATATAACACAAGCTGTAAACGCACAATCATATGGTATTTCAATCTCAACTAGAGTACCTTATACATACTATTTTTACAACCTTAAATACACATATGTAATAACATTTTGTAATTTTGTTCATTCTTTTTTCTTACATCAATATAAAAACCCAGTAAATAAAGATAAGTGTTCTCTCTAAAGTATATATTTTAATAATTTTACAAGCAACCAAATACTTGCTATATATTTCCTTTTAGCGCACAAAACTGCATTCCTTAGAGGTACACCTCTACCTCGATATAACACTGTCCTCGGGAGCCAAAAAATCTTACCGCATTATAGGTGAAACCGCGCTATATCAAACTTGCTTTGATCCGCTGGAGTGCGCAGCGCAGCCCCGCTCCTCCAGAGCGCTGCTTTACCGCGTTATATCAGAATTTGTGTTATATCGGGTAGCGTTATATCGGAGTAGAGGTGTAATTCAAGGATTAAAGTAGTTAACTAAGAAGCTAATTGTGACCCTGACAGACCAGCTCAGGCCAGAGCCATTGATATTCACGCACAAGTGAATTGGCCTAAGGAGTTAAATGGATTAGTATATATTTAGGCAGAACAGGGCAGAATAACTGAATGAGAAGACTGAGATCCCCAGAATTATTCTGGGTAGCCCTGGAAAAGACTTTGGGAAACTAGCAGTCTATTACATCACTGCCACCATTTAGAGTTACAAACTATGGTTTACCTGCTCTAAGCTCTCAGTAACTCTAATTCCTTTTCTTAGCTAGTAAACCTTTAGTTAGTTTACTAAAGAATTGGCTGTCAGTGTTGTCTCTGGTGTAAGATCCAGACTACCAATTGATCTGGGGGTAAGTGACTTTGGGACTAGGAGAAACCTGATGTGGTGTGATTTTTGGTTTTAATAACCTTTTATCACAAAGTTCAGTTGCCTGCATGGCGAGATAGGCTGGAGAGGCTAAGGGAACTGACTGTGACTCCATGGTAAGACTGCTACAATGTTCCAGGAGTTCACATTTTTTACGAGTTTGGTGAAATCTAATTCTAGAACATACCACCAGGGTTGGGTGTCTGCCTTTGTTTTCTGACAGTCTGCCCTGAGATAGTCACTCACAGTGGTTAGGCACTCCAGACAGCGTGATACTAATGTTGTTGCCCATGCACTTTACATTCTTCCTTAGGTGCCGGGCTCCATGCATAATGAGATTCTGAGGCGAGTTGCACCATTTACTGTTGTCACATTGCTATATAAATCCCAATTTGCATCATGTACATCCATAAAAATGCTGCTTCCTTCTGCTCTGAGTTTCTCACCCACCATTCTGCTTTCCTGCTTTCTTCCTGTGTCTTCTTCCCCACAAATGGGAGTTGATGGGTTTCTGTGGAGGAACGCAGCAGTTCTAAGCTTCTCCTCTCCTGTAGGCTTTAAGCAGCTCTACAGGAGAGACTGCGTGGCCATCTGGAGGAAGGAGGGGAACAGGGGCAGAAACTGATATTTGTGGGATCAGAGCGAGATTATTTTTAGGCTCACATTTAATTCCCTTCAGCAAAGATTTCCCATCATACACTGGTCAATCTGACCCAAAAGGTTGAATTGAATACAATTTTCTCCTCATCAGTGGGTAGGACCGAAATCCTCTCAATAACCAAACTTCTCTATCAGATATTAAAAGGGCATATTATCCAACTCATACCTGGCCTTGTGCAGTAAGGAATGCTAAGATTCCAGTACAGCAATGGTGCTTTACAAGTACAAGGGATGCAAATGATATGTGGGGCTGGGGTTCTGATTACATTTTGTTAAAGGAAAAATCACGCAGTAATTAGTCTGGAAAGGACTAAGCCACGACAATATAGCAAAGAGATAATCCTGGGTATTGATCAGCACCCTGAATAACCTTCATTTTCCCATTTTTGTACATGTTCCCATTTTGTGCTTTGCTACCAATGAGTACATCAGAGCACCAACTCTGCCACAGGAGTCCTTAGTAAACCCAGTTAAATTCTCCAAATTATTGCTCCTGCACACATACACGCACACCTCAGAGGAGGGAGAATCCACACAACCCCTGAAGAAACTAAAGCTCTCGCTGAGAGTTCACTGGACCTCAGATTTTGGAGCTCAGCCAGTTTTAGCAACCCGTATTGCTTGCACGTTTGATTTAAGAGCTGTCAAGGTTCTTAATGAAATTGGTTCACCTATTATCATCACAAAAAAGTTGTGGACACATTAAAAATCCACAACTCCTGTGAGAGTTGTAACATTCAGTCTTGAATGGGGCAATGATATGTATGTAGCTACTTGCCATTAATCACAGTAGTACCTACCACACGCCACTGCCCAATAGATTTGCGAGTCCTGAGTCTGGTGCAGGATCCGGTAAGGGGCGACTCTAGCACTGGAATCCAAAACCACATCAAGGGTTCCCACAAGCAGACCTAGGAAACAAAAGATTTGAAGATAAACAAAGTGAGCCATTGATAAGAGAGTTGGGATAAGGAGAAATGTAGCCGCAAATGGATGGTGGAAGCAATATGCATGACCCCTTGACATTCCTAGGGGACAGGTGAGCAATGGTGTCTCAGTCTTGGAAGAGGGCGTGGTAAACATCCAGTCATAGGAGCAAACAAACTATCTGTACTGAATAGCTACAGCTCACTGTTAATAACTTCATAGTTAAGGCTGCAACCAGATGTCCATTATAAGCCACAAGGTGACACTCTCCCTTTAAACTTTCTTTGGAAGGAGATGTCCCTATGAAAGTGTTTGTAATTAACACACAGGAAAGAACTTTTCTGGAGATATTCAAGACTAAGATAAATACTTTTCAAATGACAAGCACTCAAACCATAAGCCTTCTTTGAAAAATATAAATAAAGATTTTAGGGGTAGAGACCAGTTCCCAACACAGAGAATGCTTTTGGGTAGTTCCGGAGCGTTTTCATTGATGTACCTAAAACATTATTAAAAGAACTAAAAGTTATAGACCCTACAGATTTCATATTCTTATAAAATGAGGAGAGATTTTAAGGATGACAAAATCCAAAAATAATATAGCAGAGGATTTTTGTAGGCCACAGCTTTCAGTGCCACCTTTGCAAACAGCAGGTAAGATGATACACTCAACCAGAGTAGAACCAAATAGAGAGAAATATCTGAGCAAATACTAGCAAAAGCTGATGCTCGCAGGTCTCAGTGACATTTCTAGAAGGCAAATTTGATTTAATAACTTCTTAAATTAGCAATTTAGATGGGAGTGGGGTCAGATCGCACAAGCAGAGAAGTCTTTGTTATGAACAGTATGAAACTGTTCTAAAATAAGGAAAGTACTTTTAGAACTAAATATTGATAATACTAGGGATAGCAGCCAGAAAAGGGGGGGGGGAATGAAACCCATTTGGTTGTTTGTTAAACTGATGCTAAATCTAAAAGAAGGAGCCTAACAACTTCCCTCTCTCCTATCACAAAGAAAGAATGAATCCTCAGGCTGCAAAGCAAAAGAAAACTTCCTTTTCTTGACTTAGACTCCCACCCAAAGGATGCGGAAGGACTTTGCCACAATTCAAAAAAGCTCATAAGCACATGCTTAGTTCCATCCCTATTTAAAACACTTAAGCACATGTTTAAAGTTAAGTTCTTGCTTCTGTGTTGTCCTGAATATGGATGCTTTCCTGAATTGGTGACTTTATGCTGATCAAAAGACATTTTTATGGAGTTTTCACTTCCTCCTAACTTCAGAGTGAAATTTCAAGCCAAAACATTTATCTTCTGGGATATAAAAATCAGCAAATCATTTTTAAAAAAATGATTGAAGAGGATAAAGTGAAACTCTCTGAGAACTTTGATACTGATTCAAAAGATTGGATAATGGTTAAATTTTATCTCCCTCAATGCTACTAAATATCACTAAACTGGTTTATCACTTATTCTATTACATATAACCAGTACAAGAGGCTTCAGTGTTTATATTTTTATACTATTCATTTTTTATAGCTGTCAGCCTCCCAAGCAATATATACTACAAGAGTACTGAAAGAAATGTAAAAAAAACCCCAAAAACTAGAGACAAGGATCATTTAAACACAAATTCTAAATTAGCACCTGCAAGCTCTATATTTGGAAACACAGTTAATGGAAATTGTTTTGGGTAATTTTTTAATCTGCTGATCGCTAGATACAAATTTGTAGCGCTAACGAGGCCAATGCAATCAAGGTGGACATCGCCCATTTCCAACAGTTGACAAGAAGAATATCAGCAGAGGAAAAATTACTTTTTGTAGTGACCCATCTACTCACAGTCTTTATTCAGGCCTAATTTGATGGTGTCCAGTTTGCAAATTAATTCCAGTTCTGCAGTTTTTCATTGGAGTCTGTTTTTGAAGTTTTGTTGTTGAAGAATTGCCACTTTTAAGTCTGTTATTGAGTGTCCAGGGAGACTGAAGTGCTCTCCTACTGGTTTTTGAATGTTACAATTCTTGATGTCTGATTTGTGTCCATTTATTCTTTTGCGTAGAGACTGTCCGGTTTGGCCAATGTACATGGCAGTGCATGTACTGGGAGTGGATGGATCACTACAAAAAGTAATTTTCCCTCTGCTAATACTCATACCTTCTTGTCAACTGTTGGAAATGGGCAATGTCCACCTTGATTGCATTGGACTCTTTAGCACTACAAAAGTAATCAA